CACTGCGCGCTGCCCGCAACGACCGCTTCCGCTCACGTGACGCCAGCAGCGAGACTGCAGGCTAGAAAGCCCCCACGGTCACCGCAGCGCCCCCTCCCGGAGAAGATGGCCGTAACGCCTGTAGCGGCCACCGAGCGGCGTGGGGTGGGGAACGATGGCGCAGGGGTGGGTCGAGCCAATGTGAGCTCGGTCAGGGGCAGGGTGTGAAGACGGAGGGAGCGGCCAAACAGTGTCCGAGGGCAGGGGACAGAGACCTCTCTGGCGATGTCGTGGGGAAGGGTGGTCCCGCATTTTTCCACTGTGTCTGGGTGCACCAACCTGAGGCGACTCCTGCCCGACACACAGATGGGTTAAAAAATAGGAAAAAAAGAGAAGGGCCTGAATAACCTCCCCACGTTCTAAATAGCTGGGGGAAAGAAGCTCTCTCCAGTAGCTGTGAACCCTGCTTTGTAATTACAAGGCATAAACCAGCAGGAAAAATAATGCAAATATGATCTTTCTGTATTGCGGCCTGTATTGTCAGCCTGATGAGAGAACTCCTGCCAGCAGAGTTTGTAACAGAATAGTGAAATGCCATTACATCCTTAGTAACTGACTGTCTTTGATGCCAGTGATAATTTGGAGGGAACAGTGACTCTGTGAGTAGTGATCGTGACATTTAGGATTTGGCATCTAACCATGAGAAATGATGTCCAAATCTGGTCGTAGCTCCTTGTAGCCACTACTGATTTCAGTGAGTACTGGAACTACCGTCCAGTTTAAACTTTTCTGTGACAGAGATTCTCCACGTGATCAATATACTTCACTCATTTTTAGCATTATTCCTGTAAATTATTATAGTATTTCTTCAAGACTTGCATGCAGAATTAAGAGAAGGCTGAAATAATTACAGATTACTTGGTCACATTAGTATGTCAGTATGCCTTTAAGATATGGTTGATAAAATTTATTGGCCAGCCCATGACCAATAAACAGAAAACATCGTTTCCAAGTTATTGTTATAAATTGCCAAGACATGGACTTTTAACGTGTAAAAGTGAGTTCATTATTCCTGTATAATTTTTTCACTTGTTTGCAAGTATTAAACATGACTGACCAATAGAGTCTTGCTGAATGTACGTCTATTTCTGACTTACAAAATAACACGCCATATACTTCTATAATATATCATTCATGAGGGCTGAGGTTAAAAGAGAAGTTACAGTTTGGTAATTTCTCAAATCAGCCACAAAACACAACCGTCTCTGGCTAGGTCGATAAAGATGGGATGAGGCAGCCATAAGAGATTGGACAGGGTTTCATAAAGCTTTTGTTGTTGGTGTTCAAAACCCCTCTAGTTTCCTGCCTTTAGTTGTTAATTTTGCTTCAGGGCAAAAAGCCCAAACATAATTTGTTAACGCTAAAATGTAGTTACATGTGTTAAAACTGACATGAGATCATCTTGCAGGATGCACAGTGCCATTCTCTCCCAGTTCAGCTTCCCACAGGTGCTTTTTAGAAAGGGGCTTTGATTTATGACAAAATATTTGTAAATTGCATATTACAAATTATTTCATACAATCACTTGTTTTACTGCAAGATTTATGTGCTGGAAAAGTATTTGGGAATAGGTGGATGACAAGGAAAGCAGTACAGGCTTTCACTTGGAGAAGGTGGGTTACTGTGTGCATGACTCCAATACACAAAGGAGGAGAATGAGAAATACGCCAGAAGGCACAGTCCAGACACAGGCTCAGTTTCACTTCCAAAATTACTAAAATTCTGCA